ACTTTCCGATCTATTTACCAATTTTTATTTTTATTTTTATTTTTTGTTTTTTCAAAATCAAATTTTGAACAAAAAATAAATTCAATAATTGCTAGATCTAAGAAAACATGAGTAAATCAATCTTTGATTTCATCAACATGTAAATCAATTCCTAACAAACAGAAAGTGGGCTCCGATACCACTGTTGGGAATCTACATATCATGCACAATGGAAATAAAAATATATTTCAGTTCCCACCAAGGATCTGCTTTGTTTTTAGATAGAAACTGTGACAAAATTTGTACATTTCTTTAATTCTGCAAACTCTTTTGCTATTCTTTCTTTGATTTTGCAAATTCCTTTGCTATTCGTTCGTTGATTCTACAAACTCATTTGCTATTATTTCGCTCGAACAATCTTGACTTGCCACTCACAGCTGTCCTATTGTCTAGCCTCCAATGGAATTCCACACAGATAACAATATTGTAAAGAGAACTATGGTTTATTTTTCTTGTGCCAGCAAAAGGAATGAAAATTCTCTACAGTTTTCTAACCCTAGTTGCTTATTTATAGAAGCACAATCAAACGTGGCCTGTCTACTAAGCCGACCCAGTATTTAATTAACTTATTTAAATAAATTCGATCCATGTATTAATTAATCTAATTAATTAATTTGGGCCTATAAATAAGTAACCCAATTAATTAATTTATCCAACGCTTGTTAAATTAATTAATTGACAAATTACAATCTTCTAGTTCTCCTTTTGTGTGCGATCCATCATGTTCCCAATCACAATGCCTAACGAAGTGAAGTATTATTTTTTGATCTAATCAAAATTGATAAATTAAAAGTCACCAATTTACATTCGCCGTTCCAGATTGACATCTAGCAATATGTCAGGGCAATACATGTGACGAAAAATATCACCTGATATGACAAAACCAAACTCATTCGTTTACCGTGAAAATATAATTCATTCGTCAATATGATCCGATCAATTGCGAGATATGAAAGTGTGTCAATCCCAATTATCGATCATATCTTTCATTCTACTATTAAGTCAATAAGTCGAAAACTCATTTTCGACTTTTGCGTACACCTTGGCTAAGGATTTCACTATCAACTTAATTCAATGAAATACAGATCATAATCTCTTACTATCTAAGAGTGATGAATCCTCTATTGGTCATTCATAACTTTCATACGATTCTTGACATATCTGAAAGATAACGTTTTAATGACCCTTGACAGAACAACATTCAATACCGCCAAAGTATGACTGTCCTCATATAAGATACTATAATGACCTCAAGTCAAAGGATCAATTTCACTACCGAATGTTAGAGATTAACCACTGACACTTAAATTGTTATCCATATGGAATCTCCCAACGGGTTTCCAGTGTTTTGTTCGACAGCAAAACATCCACTTATTCATTTAAGTGTTATCATACTTAAGCTTGTGAGATCAGCTACTTACTTCACAAGTAAAAAATGTCACACATGATGGTCTATCTGAAATAACGATATATGTATCTCTTTATTACTTACTATAACGGATGATTTAAGATTCGATCATATGTAATTTGTATCTCACAATTACAACTCTTTGTGATTAACAAATTATCAAGATTTGAATCTACGGACTATATTATCTAATTTAGTTGACTATTAATTAAATAATAGATCTGCCATAAAATTGTATCAATTATACATTAAAAGTATTTATGTCCAAGATTGATTGGACCTAGAGCATAACATTTACATGTGGGAGGTTGCATAAGTCAATTATGTGTCTTTGTGTTCGAGTATTGAACAAGGAGAAAAGTAACTGGAATAATGCTAGTTGGCTGCTCCTTCAGGGCTTGAGCATCACCTTAGATAAATCAACTGAACATCTACCGTTAGCCTGTTGCCCACTTTGCGATCGAGCTGGCAATAATATCGGTGAAAATTATGCTTTGCGATTTAAATAGCTTTTTGAGTCCTAAACAATCCCAAACACCTTCTACTATATATATCCCAGTCCTATTTCATCTATATTGGTAGTTGACCATTATATTCTTCCTAGAGAACACCTTTTAGAGATTCTACATCAATTTTATACTTTGAGATCAATCAATCACACTTTCTAAAACATCAATCCAAATTTTCAAAACACCAAATCACCCATTTCTATATAATCCGTCAAAATTCTGATTATTGAGAAAGAAAATCGGAGTTTCGATAGGACAAGAATAAGGAGTTCTTGGTGATCCATAGGAGATGGACGATTCCAAAATATATATATATATATATATATATATATATAACACCTTTTAGAGATCCTACATCAATTTTATACTCTGAGATTGATCAATCACACTTCGTAAAACGTCAATCCAAATTTTCAAAACACCAAATGACCCATTTCTATATACTCTGTCAAAGTTCTGAATATTGAGGAAGGAAACCGGAGTTCCCGTAGGACAAGAATGAGGAGTTCTTGGTGATCCATAGGAGATGGACGATTCCAAAAGGTTGGGAGCTAGCACATGAGCACACAATCCAAGAGAGCCTTGGTGATTGTAGGTAATAGGTCAGATAGTGCTAGAAGTTAGTCGAGTCTGGATTGTACTGTAAGTCATTTTGTCTACAGTCAATTTATTGGCTTGGCCTAAAGTTTTTTGATCCTTTACGAAGATTTTTTTTTCCATGATCAACTATTGGTGATTTTCTTTTATGCAAATTATAAACTTTGGTAATTCAACATATGATAGACTTGCACGTGAATTCATATAGATTAATAAATATTTGTGACTTGTTGCTTATAATAATTGGTAAATTTAAATTTTGAATTAATCACCTATTCAACCCTTTCTAGATGTTAGTTGGGCCAATTTCATCATTTCAACTATGTTACTTGAACTTCTCTTTATTTAAGAAATTAATAATAAAAAAGTTTCAAACTATAGAATTTTTAAGTATCACTTATTTTAGGTATTTACAACTTTTACTTAACCCTTGTTTTGTTGAACAAAAAAAGTTTATTAAAATCTAATCCAAAGTCAACAATTAATGTTAATCATAAGTTTCATGGATGACACATGATGGAAATGTAAATGATAAGAAGGTTGTTTTGTTCGTAACACGTGAAAGGATGTTGCTCGAATTTTGCTCAGATGGATGTGGAAGAAATATTGAACTTCACCAATTAACGAAAAAATTGTAATATACTGATAAAAACATATGTAGGATTTTCGAACCTCGTAATCAAAGAAAAATCTTAATCTGTAGATAAATTTTAATAAAACAAAAAAAATGTTAAAATGGCGAGAATATCACTAAATTGACTTAAAGCAGAAAATTAATCAAACGGACCCATACACGATGAAATTTACGTTGAAAGTTTGACAACATCATTTGAAAAATTTGTTGAATTGAAAAATGCTTCGGAATGTAATCACTTGCGTAAATGTGACACCAAAGCTGAAAGTTGTGTGTTTCGTAGCTCGTTATTTTTCCTCTTCTTTAATTAGTTTATTATTTTCTCTTCTAATCGTTCGACACTATTTCCTTCCACTTTAGAACAATTCAACCCTAAGTTGTCATCAAGATATGAAGATTTACCATTATCTGAAATACATTCATAAAGATCTGCAACATTAAATGTTTTAGAAATCATCACGTGCTTAGTAGGATTAAGGTTTTTTTTTTTTTTTTTTTTTGCAAAATTTGAAAAGGCCCGTACTTCTTCTGATCTAGTTATTTCTGACTTCCATCACGTTCTTTCCTTACAAACATCATAACCCTATTATTCACCTAAAACATTTTCTAGTGCCTATCTGTATCAATAGTGGCCTTATACTTTGCATTGGAGCTTTCGAATTTTTCTTCTCCTATTGAATCACCTCCATATGTTGTTCAGCTAGTTATTCAATTGTTGCACTCTTTGTCATAGTTGTTCCACCAAGTTCCTTTATATTGTCGGAAAACTTACTCACTAAATTTGTAGTGGTCATAAAAGTTTTCCCTTCCACTTTAAAAGTTTTCTGGCAGATCCTATCTTTTTATCCTTCCATTTGAACATTTAGGTGTTCTCTACACTCCAATGTATGACATCCACATCAAACTGTCACTATTTTCCCAATAGAACATAACATGCATCAATCTCAATAATGTCACAAATAATTTTTGATTTGTAAAGTTCCCATGAACAAAGATAACCTAGAAATTCAAGTCATCTTAATAGATAGGCCCTTCTTAGTCGAACCAATGTGATAAAAAGTTTGATGTTGTTTAGTTGCCATCTTTAGATGATCAACTAGCTTCTTTGCAATCACATTCTCACAGCTAAACTATCAATGATCAGATAAAAAAAAAAAAAAAAAAAAAAAACAAAAACAACACTTGGCATAAAAGATCTTCCTAATTTGAGTCAACTATTCCTACTTGGGCAAGCATAAGATTTTTTGCAGTATATATACAAACTCTCCTTGTTCTTTTTCACATACTTCATCAGAGTATTCTTCCTCTAGCACCGGATGAAAACATGAATAATAATAATAATCAATCTTATTCGTAATACACAAAGAAGTGTTGCTCAAATTTTGTTCGAACGGACATAGAAATATTGGAATCTACCAATTAACGAAATAAATTATGATATTATTAATCAATACATTTGTAGGTTATTCAATCCCTTTAACACAAATTTAAAGAATTAAAACGAACTCCAATCAATGCAAAACTCTAATTCTGTAGATAAATCTAAATAAAATTAAAAAACTATAAAAATGACAAAAATATCCTTAAATTCACTCAAAACAAAAAATTGCTAAAATGGAGTCCTAAATATTGCATGCCATCCACGTGTATGCTCTTTGTGGTGTATGCTGTCCACGTATATGCTTTTTGTTTGATGCCATCCACAATTGCTAAAATGATCCACCATCTGACTCATTCAAATATTGCATGCCATCTACGTGTATGCTCTTTGTAGTGTCCACAGCCACGCGTAAAATCCATATACCTCCAATCCAATGTATAAAGATCCGACCATTGTAATTGAAAGCTAACTGAGAAAACCAGAAGATAAATGGCATCAAATCTGAATCCAAGGTATGCATACACAGTGGTTTATGTTAGAGATGTAGCCAAATCTGTTGCATTTTACGCCAAGGCATTTGGTTATCAAGTACGCCGCTTAGATCACTCTAACAGGTAAATGACATTGAAATATTATTGCAATCAATGACATTGAAATCGTATTGTTACGTTAGAATCTCGAAATCTTAATGCATGTTTAGGAACGCTTGTCAAGTTTTATAAACTATCAAACGTTATTTTTATCTACAAATTTTATATGATTCACGATTTATAATCTACTGCTATACTCTTATCATAATTACGTGTAAATGAGTCTAGCATTGTAGAAGTATATTGATGTCAAGTAGACGCGGCCACCAGGATGGTCTTGTTGGGGTCCCTATGATTTGTCCGAATTTAACCCATCTTTCATCTAATTGAAATTAGATTTTGTAAATTTTGATAAAAATTGACGAAATGAATGGTTGGGAAGTTATGAATCTAATGAAATGGGTTATTTATTTATTGTAAGCAAAATTTCATATCAACTTAAAATTTTTGTCAACCTTTTAATCTAAACCAAGCAGGGTATTAAATGCTTTTGATAGACAATAAAAAAGAATACTAAGGATATCAACGGCCATGATTGATTTGGAAGGTGTTTTCTTCAACAAGCCAACAACATCACGAAAAAAAGTCAATGATGATCAGGCTGAACGAATACTTGCATCCTACATCTCTACCTTGACTTTGCGGATTGGGTCCATTAAAAATGAATAATATAACCATATGATCTAATGTTTTGTATGTGAAAATATTTGAATCTTGTTCTAATTTCTTGGGATCTACATATGTTTATTAATTTTGTTGATTGGATTGGTGTAGATGGGGTGAGCTGGAGAGTGGGGAGACCACAATAGCATTAACACCTGCGCACCAGCACGAGACGGATGATTTGAGTGGCGAGGTGCGTATGCCACAATCTAGCAATGAGAGGAACTCAATCGAAGTCTGTTTTGAATATTCAGATGTGGATTCCGCCTACAAGGTATGGTATAATTATTTCCCGCTTGTTAAGAAATAAACATAACTTCCTTGTGAAGATTTTCTAGCAAGTTTGGCACACTGTGATGTTTTGAGATTGTTATTTGTGGACGGATCAGAATGCTGTCGAGAACGGTGCCGTACCAGTTAGTGAGCCAGACGAGAAGGAATGGGGACAAAAGGTAGGATATGTTCGAGATATTGACGGGATTGTCGTGAGGATGGGGAGCTACGTGAATTCGTCCAAAGCCCATCACTGAACATCAGCCTATATTCTGGATTTATCTCATCTCATCTCATGGCTTTCATTCCCTTCCTTAATGTTTGTACCAATTACAGATCATATACTTTTGGAAGTTGCAGCTCATCATTTGAATTAATCTTTGTAGATTGGGATTATAATCCTCTATATACATAGTTGGGTCAATTTCAAGCGCCAGTCTTTCCATGACAAATTCGTTTATATTGTGGTTCTCCTAGTTCATGATTTGGACCTAGGGTCTTTATATAATTCTTGTAGCTTGGGATAATTTTCTTATATTTATGTTGGAATGTATGTACGAAAACATTTAACATGTGTTTATTTAAGTTTTCATAGTCAAGGGCGTTCAATATATATTCATTATTCATTGGGATAGTCTATTAGTTATTTGAAGGCACATGAGCAATATGTCATGCACAATGGAAGTCTCAACGTATGCATTGTAGATTTATTATAGCTAGAGAATCTCATATATATGGAGTAATCTCAATTGATTATCTAAAAGTTAAGATAATTTTGCGGTTTCACTTATAAACGTGAGCATTACTTAATGAACGCGTTGATCGATCAATTATAATTTTTATTGACGACATTTCGGTATCCTCAAAGGATAAGGAACAACATTAAATGCAATTGAAGATTGTATTAGAGATGCTCAAAAGAGATTAATTACATTTAAATTTAAGAAATATGAATTTTACTTCGACCTATAAATTTTTTCGACAAGTACATCATTGCACAAGGAATTGAAGTGTATGTGACTGGGGTTAAAGCCATGGCTAATTGGTCTAGACCATTTATTGTCGATGAGGTCTGTAATTTCTTGTGATTGATCAGTTAAATCAGAGATTACTAATGGATTTTTTAAAATAAGGGACAAAATAACTCTACTATCTAGAAATGTGTATTGCAATTTCTGGATTATTATATGATGATTTTTGAACTTTTCAAATAGAAAAAAATTAAATAGAAAGAGATAGATTAGAAACAACATATATTATAACTGGTCTCTCCAAACTTTTCATTTACAATTAAGCTGGTCGTACAGGGCGACATGGGTACAACCAGCATAACCATTACATTTAAGTCCCATTAAGAGATTCAAGATATCATACACGTTATTATTTTTGGTAGTTTGACATTTTTCACGGATTCAGGGTATAAAGTAACACCAGTGTGCAAAAATAGGTTTAAATTAATAAGCTTTTTGTACAATGCAATCACTTTAAAATGGGGCAAATTGCATAAAATTAAATAAAAATCAGTTGCTTTATATGAGATTTATGATGAGGTTGGTTTTTTTGTCACAATTATATCTCTTTTACTATACAAATTTTTAATTGTATTACAAGAGTCTAATTTTTTCTTTTGTCGCATTTATGTTCCTATCATTTTTTATCACTCATCTTCAATTTTTTATTAATTAGCATATTTTGTCCCTTTAGTTTACTTAAATTTTTGTTTTAGTTTTATAATTGATTAATAATATTTATTTAATATATTTATTGTGTAATAATAATGTTTTGAAAATCAGATCCGATTTATTTGTTTAATCCAAAAATTTTGAACTGGTTCCAAAATCGATCGGGCACAAGTCAAAAACTATTTAAGAAAAGGTCGGAAAAGTGGTCAATAATAAATCGATTGACAGTGGACATGGGTTTACTAGTTGGATTCCGTAAAAAAGTGAAATTTCTTTTTGGTAAATGATTCTATTTTTGCATTTAAGAGATGATAAATGAAGATTAGGCTTGAAGATGATAAAATAATAAAAGAAAAGTGGCTCTGCCGAAAGCTTACGTCCGTGTTTCAAGAATGAGGACTCAAAAGTGTGGCTGGATTCACGAGACTTGCAATAGAGTAACATGGATTAAAAATGCACATTTTGAATTAAATAATTAGCATGTTTGACTCATCTAAAATTGTTCCATTAATGAATTTTGGGGGGAAAAAATTACTTCAATGTTTACTAACTTAAATTGTTTGGTCGGCAAAGGTATAGTTTTTCCGACTTCAATTCTTTGGGTTGGCCAAGGTATATTTTTCCCGACCAAAAAAAGTAGTCAACCTATGTTTTGCCGACTTTGTGTTTAAACCTTCACCAACCCAAATTATGATCAAAAAAATCTTTATTATTCCCAGCCAAATTCTTGTTGGCAAGTAAAAGCCTAAAAATTTCCCGACTAATATGTATTGCGTAAAAACCTATATATTTTCCGACTAAAATGTATTATGGTCGGTAAAAACTTTTGTTGGCTGGCTTTTGGCGATCAACTCCCGACCGAAATTTTGTAGTACCGACTAATATTTGACATTTAGCGAACAGTCTTTTGGTTGGGAAAAATCATATTTCTTGTACTCTGAGTTGCTCATTATATCTTTAGAGATAAAAATGTAGTTGATAATATTTAAATTTTCAAATTATATTAGAAAATTTATTCCTTTAAATTTTTTGTTGACGTCAAAAAATGACTAGCTTAATTTTATCAACTTTATTGATGATTTGTGAGAGGTAATTTGAGCCAAAATAGTAAAATTATGCTGAACCAGTGGAATTGAGCTGAAATAGTAATAAAAATAAAGTGTTTGTATTAGGTAGAGAAATTTGGGAGTATATACGATGTGCGTTTAGCTTGTTTTCTCAGGGGACCACTACAATCCTTTTTATAGATAAAGATGGGCAATTGCATGACTTTACATCAAATCAGCTAGAATGCTGACCTTAATGTGTGTGTCAATAACCCAATTTTGATTATCTATTGAGGTCGGTCTCCATATGTCATGATGAATTTGAGGCGGAAAGTAATCATTGCAATGGATGGTCACAATTTGGGTGCCTCTTTGATGAAAATCGAGGCTTTGATTATTCAATCTAATTATTTGTGAAGAAAGATCATGTTGAGAATGTGACAGAATTCACTATCAATCGTTAATTAGAAATTGCGCGCATAGATTTTTCATGACCATTAGTTTGCACCTATACATTTACTAGCTGTCGTTTGTATTTATGATTAATTATGACATCAAAATAAGTTTGTTTATTTGGTGTCTATTCAATTAAAAACGCATTTAACTTAGCCATCTGTTATTTCATGAATTCTGTGAATTAAATATTGATTACATATGTGATTTGATTTCAGTAAATAATATTCACATTTGTAGAATTCTGTTTTCTTTTTCGGTTAATTTACAATGGTACATATTAATTCCTTCGTTTTAAATTCCTTGCGTGTTGGATTTAATTTACTAAAATGGCATTTTTTTCACTTTTATCCACTAACAAGTGCATGTGGTTAGGTGTTTGTTCAGTTCGTTTCTGATTTGGCCATAACTGAGTCATAAGGAATTTTTTTTTTGTATTGCAATATTATTAAATGGAGGCCAGCAATTTCCATGAAAGCATGTGAACTTTCTTGCGAAGCAGTTTTTAAGGCCAGAAATTTATTAAGATGAGGGACTCGGATAGTCATTTATGGTAGGTGGAGCAGAATGGACCACCGAATTGGAATGGAACCAAACCTTCCCATTAGAACATAGTCTCTATATGGCAATTCAATCTTGGCTGCAATTGGTGTAAAATACATTAGATTATTTAAATGCAATAATTAATCATGAATTTATTTGATATTCACTAATCTGTGCATGGAAGTCTCTATTATATTTGAAAGTGCATGTGTTTTCTTTAATCAAAATCAATTGTGGTGCAAGAATAATGCCACCTGTACATTAAAAAAAATAAAATTATATAATGGTTTACATACAAATAATATGTGAAAAAGAGAACTTGAAAGGATTTTTTTTTTTTTTTTTTTTTTTGTTAAGGAAATTCTGACCCAATAATATATCACTATATCATGTATATGTAAACAATTATGTACATGTAGCACAACCAGTGGTGCAGGATGATCTATTTGACCCCGGCAGCATTACCAAATGGTGACATTGTTCACTCTTGATGTAGTGACCGTTCTTTTAAAAGGCACCTTGTGCAGGTCAATACGTGAAATTGGCCCAATTCACAACAAGAAGTTGGACCCTTTGAGACCCCAGTTTTGTCCAAAGCCAAAATTAAAATATTGGATCACGTGGTGATGCAAGGGGAACATAAAAGAGTGCAGTTTGGTCTTGATAAAAAACTAAATACTTAACATGGAGTCACTATTTCGTCCTGATTATGGAACCATGGCAGGAAATTCAACTAATCCAATTCTTTGTGACAAGTAGATTGCATTGTTGCTAACAAAGTAGGTTCATCCTTTGAATAAAATTTTCCATCCATAAAACTTTAGAGTGGCAGCCATAGCATGAGGTTTCTGCATCCGGTTACAAAGGTTATTTGAGGAACACATAATACCCATGAATGTCGATAGATGTTGATGGCTATGCCACCAATATCATGTGTTATATATTTACATGACTTTGAGGCTATTGTGCCAATACCTAAAGTTGACACACTAAAGTTGGTTAGATTGCAATACACAATGTTAAACTGGTACTAAGTAGTTTTCATTCAAAGTGGGGCAATTTTTCTGGAGTCAACCAACTTATGATTTTATTTCATTTTAACTATCCTACATACATTCATGGTTCAATACGATAATTTTGTCCGTAATTATGACCAAAACCATCCATTCCCACAATAACCAACAAAATGCACAACTTTGCACTTTCTAAATTCTTAATCAGTAGTTGGTCGAGATTGCATAAAGTCAAATTTAAAGTTCTTAAATTCACTCATTTGAACTTTTTTTATGGCCAAAAAATTTCGATCTTCATATTCAAGTAGGATTAATCATTATCTTCGAGCACGGTTAAGAAAAATATGAAGTTGAATTACAGGATGAAAATTGAAGTGAGGGACCAAGATGAACTTCACTCTAAATAAATCAAGGATCTAATTCCATTATATGATATAAATGTCCACTGGTTTATAAATTTTCATAATCCTTCTAAAATAACCATACATCCCTCGCGTTAATCTCAAGCAACTCCATATCTCTCTCTAACTTCGCGTCCGAACTAATTTTTCAGGTATATGTTTTATAATGAAAGCAGCTTTTGATAATTTGATTTAAATTTGTGGAACAAGGATACGAGTAATTGAGTATTGCTACATTTTTATTTTTTTATTTTTTTATGATCTGATCTCAAGATTTAGCATTCAAACCTTTTTTATCCAGTGGAAAATTTCAATTATTTAATGTAACTGTCTACCTGCTTGATTAAAAACAGTATTTTCAAGAATGGAGAATTCGATTATTATTATTATTACTTTTTTATGAATTAAAGTACTAAATTGAAATATGTTTTTGAGATAATGTAAATTAGGGAGTGGGAATTAAAGTGAGTAGATAATATTTGAAAAAAGGGCTACTGAGGTCCCAGTGATAAAGAAAAAGTGATTTAGACGATGAAGGTTGGATGTTAAAGTCCTAAATTTTTAATGACAAAACAAAAGCTCATAATAACTTTATCGAGAGAAAGATGAAATAATTTGACAAGCACTTATTGGAGGAAAAAGAAAAAGTAAGAAGTCAATAATATTACAAACTATCCACCTCACATAATACCCACTTAATGCATGTATAAACGAGGAAAAAGAGAAAGGGCGCGATAATAAGAAATCACAATTAAAAAGGTAATGAAAAAAAAAAATTAAAGGTAGAGGATGGATATTGTCTACTGTACCAAGGTAATTGGTGAGGAATCAGCCATCATTCCACAGGTTTTCCGGGAAAAGTGATACGATTTTGTTCCTTCCGCGTGTTTGCTAAAGACTTCCTAGCATTCCCTGTATCACAATTTATTCAAACAGTATAAAAACCAAAGAAGATGGAAGTATGCCAAAATCAATTGATCAAATACTTGTTGATTCCATCAAATTTTCAAAACTGATTTAAAATTACGATCTAGCTGATTCTATACAAATACCGTGTTTGGTTGCTTCCCAAAAAAAAACCCGATATAGGATCCAAAAGAACTGGACAAATCCAAACTCTTTACAATGTCTCACATTTTCTTCATAAAAACACAATTTCAAGAAGTTCAAAGGGAAATGTCAACAAAATGAAGGACATCACAATAAATTAAAAGGCATAATTAATAAAATAAACTAAAAGATAACGTTTGAGCAACAGTGGAATGTTGTACCAAGTTCTCATAACTCGTGGCTGCTTCACAAGTTCATAAATATAGTTGGCATATTAAATAAGAAAATATGAAATAGTGTTAAAAGTCTTTCGACGTTTCTTTTTATTCCATGCACAATAAACAAGTCACACAGCCTTAGGAGATTGAAGGAAAGAGAAAAACGAGCCACAAAGCCTTACCAGCAAAACTCATGCTCTGTTTACTCTATTAGCATCGCTAGTGGGAGATGATAACTTTAAGCTCTTCATTTCCCATTTCTTGTTGTTCTTCCCGAATTTCCATAGCAGATTTTGCGACAGATTCTGCGCATCCATATACCTCAATCTTCTGTAAGGTCAAGATATAACCTAAACTGGAAGGGATCTCTTTCAAACAGTGGCAATATCGCAGCACTAATCGTTCAAGTTTGGGGTAATCATCACTTGTGGGATTCCATTTTGCTGTCGGATACCAATCTGCAGAGTCATATTGGCTTACAATTTCCACTCCATTTAGCTCGAAGAATTTGAGTTTTTGGAATTCACCTTCTGCTGTGTCCCATTGATTTTCCTTGAAGGAACCACGACGTAATTTGAGAACCTCTAAGTTCGGCAATCTCCCAATCATCCGAATTTTTTCCCACGACAAATAAAAATCCAATAGGGTCAATTTTTTGAGATTCAAGGGAAATTTGGGACGTGAATCTCCCATGAAACTGATGTTGAGCGATTCAAGTTGATTGGGGAATTTGAAAGGACATCGAGACGCGAACTTGCATTTCAATTTGCGTAGGTTGGGAGCACATCCCAAAATTTTTGCATCCATTTTATCTTGGATCAAAAGTAGAGAAATAGATTGTAGGTTATTTATTTGGAAGCTCCCATCCTTAGTTGCTCTTAAATGAGAAAATGCACTGAAGCTTGCACCACGTCCAAAATGCAGATGTTTCAAAGTCTTCATGTTAAGAACGAACTCAGGTATTTCAACTTTACATCTGTTCTCCACGTGAAGATATTCTAGTTTGTGGAGATTTTCTATTACTGGCACTATAAATTTTTGTCGAACTGCCAAGTACCTCAAGTGAACCAACTTTTTAATTCCTACACTTATATCTTCAAAATAAGAACAATATTGTCCTGACAAATCCATGACCCTGCGGCCTAACTGAGAGTGAACATATGGATCAAATGGTCTTGGGAAACAAAGACGCTGCATTTCCAAGATACTCTTATCTTCCTTATACTTCGAATACCCGCTGAAGAACAAATGTGGTGACAACAAAATCACATCCAATCATCATCAGAAACAAAAACATCGTTAGTGTGGCCATCAAAGATAGTTACATTATTAATAATCCAAATAGAAATAGAAGAAAGTGAACGAGGAAAGAAGGGAGACAAAGAACTTACTTTTCGATCCCTCCCATAAAGTTTTCTTCTTTAGCTATCCTCAAGCATATCTCATGCAATAGATCATGAATCATGCAAGTTTTGACTCCACCGTTTGATCTTTCTTCAGCAACTAGTACCAGACCCCTATTAATTAGATCCATTAGATAATAGTGTGCCACATCCTCTGAGCTCCTGTTGTTTTCTTTGTTTATAAACCCTTCAGCAACCCATAGAGATATCAACTTCCGTACCGGGATTAATTCGTCTTCTTCAAATGCTCCAAAGTATAGAAAACAAGGTTTCAGATGAACTGGTAAATGTTGGTAACTAAGTTTCAGTATGTCGATGCAATTATTTGTGCTGTCAAATATGTGTTCATTTAAATGCCCCGCTACTTTTCCCCATGAGCTCTCTTTCTTCTGCATATTTGCAAGAATGGAAGATATCGTAATGACTGACAGAGGTAGACCACGACATTTTGCGGCAATATGCTTACCAATCTCTAGCAATTCTGGAGGGCAAGGTTCTGTTTGGAACACTTTCCGCTGTAATAATTCCCAACACTCAGCATCTGATAGGAAAGGAAGTTCATTAACAACATCATTGAAGCCCAATTCTTTGTTCCGAGATGTGAATAAGATTCTACTTCCTGTTCTATCATCTGGAAAATATCTTTTCAAATCGTCCCATGGTTTCATGTCCCATACATCATCCATGACAATGAGGTATCTCATTCCTTTTAAACTTTTGTAAAGCATTTCAGCCAAATTTTCTTCCTCCATTTCTGTGATTGTTTCTCTATTATGGTTTCTTGTCGATGTCAAAATGTCAATCAATACATTTTTCTTCTTATATGTTTGAGAAACCACACACCACGCACATTTGTCAAAATAATAGACAATGGAAGGATCATTGAACAAATTCTTTGCTAAAGTAGTCTTACCAAGTCCAGGCATTCCAACAATGGAAATAATTTGTTGCTTTCGTGGTCCACTGGTGAGTTGATCAGCAATTTTGATTTTCTCATCCTGGAAACCCACAAAATCATCTTCCAAATTGTCAATTTCTTTAGCTTGAGGCTGTACTTGCTCACATGGATATCCTTCTTCTGGTATTCCAGCGTCAATACTACTGCTCTTCTTTTCTTTTATTTCCATCTTAACAAGATGAATCTTCTCCAGGAGTTGAGAGAGCCTGGGGGTGAGATACCAGACAGGAGTAACCGAGTTGATAACATATGAAATTTCATATAATAAGTCTCTGGTTTTCATCGCAAGTTCCTCAAGTTGTAAGTGCTGTGCCACAACTATAAAATTGAGGGTGGATCTCAACAACGATAGCTCCTCGTAGAGCATTATGATTTGATCCTTCACTGGGACAATCCTTTCAGCCTTATAATTGATCAGGTCCTCGAGATCATCTAGGAGAGAATCCACAGTGAAGAACGAAATCACACTACTCTTTGTAGCGACACAACCTGGCAACTCTGGGACTGTGATGCAGTACTCCTTGATCTTTGTTTTCAAGAGCTCAAACTTTTGTAAGAAATCAGAAAGAGAAAGACTCAATCTTCCAGTCGTCAGGACTCTATCATCACTTGCTGAGAATATTGAATATAAGAAACTTCCAACCTCATTGACAACAACTTCGATATCTGACAATATATTCTTGGTTGCGTCCAACTCAGTGCGTAACGGTGCATCTCCAAGAAAGCTGATTAGAAATCCAAGTTCTGTCTGGACGTTTTTTATTGAACCCTTGACTGGAACAATGAAATCTGGTTCAAGGCGCATTATTTCTTCTAAAAGTTGGAGGAGAAAGTCGATAAACTCCACAACAACTTCATTAGGATGGGGAGTAGGAGTAATCTTCGACATTTGCTGCTTTGGGATTGTGAAGACTACCCTCAGATCCTTCACAAATGACATCAGTAACTTGAAGAATTCTCTGTCTGCTTGAGGTTCAGAAGCCCCAAAAGACATGCAACGGTATGCTGAATCGTCGAGATGATCTAGTAAATCAGTTTCAAAACGGGAAGCCCCAAAAAACATGCAACAGAATTTTCTGTATGTTTTGTCATAACGGAAGCACAGTTTTTGTTTTTTCATATACGCAAAGGCAATTGGAACAAGTAATCTCTGTCCAACAAATGTTTCAAATTTTTCATCTCCTTCGAGTGAAATTTTTATGAGATTTCTGACTTTTGTATTTTCCAGAATACGCCTGAGAAATAAAGGGAGACCCATCTTTTCTTCAAATTCTTAGTATGAATCAGTGTCTATTTAAGGAAAATTCGGGGGATGGACGAATTCCAGGGGAAGATATATGTATGATTGTATTCTACTCCAGAAAATTTAGAGGCTGTTTGGAGGACATTTCTTCGGCAGGAAAATGAATTTTTCTACCGTTGATGCCAAAAGCAGCCGTTGTTTTTGACCATTACACTCTCATGTGGGGCCCAGATGACCAAAAAACAGTCCAAAAATTACTTTTCTCCTTTCAAAAAATGACCACCAAACAAGGGCTTACTTATAACAAAAGTTCAATCTTCATCACAAACTCTAAACAACTAGGCTCCGTTTGGTATCTATTTTTTAAAAAATGCATTTTTCTCTCTCTTTTTTTCAACCACACATTCTTTATTAAAATAATATTATACGTAAATAAAAAACTTTTACTTATTTTTCAACCACATATTTTCCATCAATTTACTATTCCAAAATGCATGTTTACATAAAAATGGTTCCCAAACACCCTCTAAATATTGAATTCACGGTTTCTCATAAGATTAATAATTATAGAATTTGAGCCACCGGGACATATTTCAGTGGTGCAAAGGACAAGGGTGAGGTATACTTATCTTTACTGACAGTCGCAGTATGAGAGTTCGATTCCTGAAATATGGATTGAGACTCTTTATGGACACCAGTGTACATACAGCTCTTGTTTCTTGGTCTGCTGGGGCATATCCTTCGATTAACATCTTTCACGATACTCTAAGGGTGGGGCAGTGAGGGACCCTGAAGATTGGGATTCAACCTTTTAATAATTATAGAATTTGAATATAAAATTGCCGACACTTGGAGACAGCGATGATTGTATTAAAGTGAAATTAAAGGAAAGCAGCGTTCATATGAGGGAATCTTCCAATGTTCACACCATGCGGTATATAGGTGTAATTAAGGCCCCATTTGAGAGGAATTTTAAAAATTGGTTTTTTGACCGTTAGAAGAAAAGTAGGGTTCATCTGTGAGAGAAGAAGTTAAAAATTACGCTGACATAGTAAAATAAAGATCAACCAATCGATTTTTTCTTGTTGTACATTGGGGGCTACATTCGACTTCCAAATCATGTCATAATTCAATTTTTTAATATTAACAATAATAACCTCTGTTTGGAGCCCATTGAAGGCCTATTTTTAGACAATTTCGGACCGTTGCCCGGTAATTTTTTGCATTCAATTTCTGCTGTTTCCGACAAAGAAATGACTACAGCCTATCAAAGAGATTCTTTTGACTTTTGGCTTTTCCTTGTGTTACCCCTAGCACTCGCAACCAGGAAACCACGCGCCCTCTTGATTTGACATTGATTTGACACGAAAATGCATTCTCCGTAATTAATGGCTCCAAACATAGGCTTATAAATCACTCTTTCTACTCATCTTTACATAACAATCCATCTTTTCCCTATATGAGTAAATTTCACAAAATGTTTATTTTTGTCAAAATATATTTTTCTTTCTTTTCTTTTTAATCATATATTCTTTATTAAAATAATATTACACGTAAAAAAAATTTCTTTTTTTTAACCACACATTTCACATTAATTTATTATTCTAAAATACATTTTTACATAAAAATATGTATCAAACACCCCCTAGTCATTTGTAAAAATGTCCACCATTGCAAAAATGTCTAATTTGGAAGAATTTAGACCAAAATACCCTTATTAACAACTTATAATTCCACATTAAGACAAAAAAAAATGGACATTTTTACAATATTGTTATTGGCCAATAAAATTTTGACAAATAGCCTGTCATATTTATTTCAAAAAGTATACATATCAAATCACAATAAATGCTATGTTTTTCATTGATTCAGAAATGTCGAGAATGACATTTTTAAATATAGAGAAATGTCATCTTCAAAATGAAATATCATTCTAGACAAATGAAACGGTGTTCAAATATCGAGAATGACATATGAAATGTCGAGAAATATTATTTTAATGTAGCTTCTCATGGAAGCCAGTTCTCCAAATTCGTGACAAATTGATAAAAAAATCAAATGTCGAGAACGACATTTAAAATGTCGAGAATGTCATTTCAAAATGTAGTTTTTCATTAAGGGCATAATAGACAAGTTGGCACTAAATTCAAATGAGTGGACACTTTTCAACTCATACTCTTAAAATTGGACATTCTTAAAAATGCTCATTTCTCTATTTAGTCTCTACACCACCCTCCCCCCACCTCTCTCTCTCTCTCTCTCTCTCTCTCTCTCTCTCTCTCTGCGGATCCGTCCGACCATCGTCATCGGAAGCCTCCCATTACCTTCCCTTCTCATACCCGGTGTAGATCGGTCAATGAGGGCTCCTCATTGTGGTTCAATAAAGCCCATGCACGTGCAATGGAGAAGCTTATGTGCGAGAATGGGCACTTTTCGCGCCAGATGGGGACAACTTTCCTAAATTAACTAAAATTCTTTTGGAATCCAATTAGGACTCGTTCTTGATCGAATTTTTGATGGCTATAAATACAAAATCAACGGATCTCTCTCACCTATCACCTCGCACCTCTCGTATCACCTCTAATATATCAGCGGTTTGTTATTTGACTCATTAGACAATAAAAAACTACCACATTATTACATCAAATAACAAATTACCATATGTATATTACTTAAAACAACTAGTCCTTTTTAGAAATAGCATTACTCTTGTTTCACACACAAATGTATGCAAATGAAAAGGCACGAAGTTAAACACCTCTTTGAAGTCATATTCCATGAACATATGTACACATTATTTAAATCCAACAATATAGCACTTGGAATAAGTTTTGAGCATTAATGAATGCAAATGGAGACCCAATAATAGAAGAAACATGAATAAAATTTGTTTTACTATAAAACACAATATTTTATGCAGTAGAAAATTTTTATTCTATTTGAAAATTAATCTCATATATATGCAATACGTGATTTTGATTCCTGAAATATACTCACAAAAGCAATCTGATTATTGATTACCACATATTCAAGTTTCACTTTCTGCTAGTTAAACTGTCAAACTTATTGTAGGCTCAGTTTAATTTTAACACTTTGTAATGGAAGAAATAAATATGTCAAATTAAGAATGCAAGCATTATTAGAGGTTAATCGAATGTTTTTAAGCAGAATGTTAACAGTGATTCTTGCACAAAAATGACATATAAAATGAAGGGGGAAAAAAAGAAAGAAAGAAATCCGTCTTTAGATTGTTAGATAATTTAGTGAATGACTTACATTTCACTAATAAAAATACTAGCACGCAAAGACGATAAAATTGCGACTTAAGGAAATGAAATAAAACAAGGTATGCAATTGCAAATCACCTTAAGATGGATTTGGTCCTCTACACCAGTGCTATCAGATAAACTAGACGTATATTTCCGAAGATATGACGCTTCTTTCAAAATTAATATAGCATGGTATTCATTTTGTTGGGCGAACCAACACTTGACAGTATTCTTCTAGAATGAAAAATATCGAATGCTAAATATTAAACATAAAACTCAAATAAAATTTAAAAATTATTTTGATAGAATTTGGAGAGGGAATGAATTAAAAATCAATTATTTGAAATTAATTTGAAGTGAAGAAAATGGAATTAGTAGGTTCATATTTATAAATTTTCACGTGTCTTTTTGTATAGTTGCATCTTTCGGCAGAAATTAATTTAACGATTAGATATCACCATATCAAATTTATTGGTATAGATAGCACCTTATCAAAATGACACACTCATTCCGAAACAACGTGATTATTTGATATGAGTCCTTTACAATTAGAGTGTTATGTCTAGTAATCACATCCATTGAAAACTTTATAATTCACACATTTAAATCATATATATGTTAAACCATGAATTCCAATACGACCATCTCCACATTCAGCATCCACAACGCATTCAATTCAAACACCACGGTTACTATTGCATCACCATCCAATCAAAATAAGTGCTTCATTTTAATGAAAATGTTTTAGCCAACGTTGTAATAACCCAATTTTTAAAGATTTGAATCGCTATCAAAATTTTTAAAATAATTTTATTTTTTTATTTTTTTAATACAAAGCCCAAAATTTATATAACATCGTCAAAATTATTATTATTATTATTATTATTATTATTATTATTATTAATTAATTAATTAATTTTTTTTTGGGTAATGTTATGCGGATTACAGTGTGACCAGCACGTTGAGTCTTCTTTTTTATATGATAACTTTAACTTGGAGTTGTTATCTTTCTGACAAAATCCATGTGATGGTGGAGTGTTCTTTCTTATTATTTAAGATTCCCCACCCCTCCCCGCCCACCCTAATGCAAAAGCCCTGACCTGACTTCCAAGCATCACTGTACATATTCATGCACCCCTCAAAAGTATCCTATACCATAAAATATTGCATAAAGTGCACATCTATCCAGCATTTCCGTGAATAGAGAAAAAAAATGCAGATCATGTCGGTTTTTGTTTTTTATAGACCGTTCACATCGTGAACAGTAACATGGGGTACTGTTCACGCGTGGAACGGTAACATGGGCACTGTTAACGCGTAAATAGTAAATTTATTATTATTTTTTTAACCTCCTAAATCACATAAAATCATGATTGCTCCATAGAAAAATAAACCTAAACTCTGATATCAAACTGTAACAACCTAAATTTTTAAGATTTGAATCGCTACCAAATTTTTTTTAAAAAATTTCATTTTTTTTATGCAAATCCTTAGATTACTTATAAATGAATAATAATTATCTTTAAATAAAATTTTGTTTACACTAATGTAAGATAACACTTAAGGGAAATCAAACAAATTAATTCAAACATTTAAATAAAATCGCAATTTAAAATATCCATGTAACAAATAACATATACAATAATGCAATAAAAAATAAGTGTCTATGGCAACAAAATTAAAATAAATAAACTCACGTGCTAAGCACAACCACTCAATTGAATCGCCACACTTCGACACGACCCGTTCTAACCTGTGAGGAGTGGGGAAAAAGGATGAGTACATAAGAATACTCAGTATGATATAAAAATTTATGGTGCAATCCCAAGTAAAAAATTTGAAAACAT